TGTCCCCTTCAAGCTGAGAAGTGTGGGGGTCAGCAGTGTAGGGAACCTTGAATTTAGGGAAAGAAATTAGTTCTAAAAATGCCAGGGGAAAGTAGGATCCATTGCCTGGAGGTGCTCAGGAGAAGCCTGGCAGTGAGGATTGTTGGCTGAGGCAGGGACTGTCAGGTATTTGCCTATCCAACACCCAGTGTCCCTTGCAGTTGGTTTGGGGCCATTTAACTGGGTTCTAGACAAAGGAATAGGAAAAGTGACTGGTGGGCAGCATAGTGYTGTTCATCTCAGGACCTTAGATGTGCTATGTGGTAAGGGAGAATCAAGGCTGGGAGTTAAGAGGCTGATCAGCTGATCTGAACATGAGGATATTGCCTGCATTATCCACATGGCCCATGTGATCACAAGGGTCTTCAAACATGCAGGAGGTAGAGAAAGAGTCAGGATTGGGGGCTGTGATGGAAGGAGAATGTAAGCAGCCACTGTAGCCTCTGCAGATGGAGCAGGGGCCACAGGCGAGTGGGTGCCTCTGGACTCTGGAAGGGGCAGGGGAACCGTTCTCCCCCAAAGCCTCCAGAAGGACCAGCCCAGCTGACACCTTGACTCATTTTGGACTTCTCACCTCCAGAATCATAAGTTAATAAAGAAGTGAATTATTTTGCAGTTACTAAAACAAACACAGTGGCCTCTTTCCCATTTGACTTTAAATAAATACACTCTTGTGTAATGATTTTAAGTTTATAGTGGTTTAAACTTCCAAGGTTATTGTGTTTTGCTACAGTAGTCATAAAAACTAACCCAGTGAAGCATGCCRCTTGCGGGCCCCAAGCATGCTGACCCACACTTATCCCCCTCTGTAGTGGCTTTGCCTTGAAACAGCAGTGTCCTGCAGCAGGAGGGGTCTGGGCCTCTGTACTGTTTCTTGTAGAGGGTCGCCCAGGAAACAAATAAACCTTAATTTTTTTCAGCTCATTTATTGTACTTTTTACAAAAGTGAATACCCTTTTTATAAATACAAAACTTCTGAGGTTGAGAAGGGGAAACTATTCATAAAACCAAGTCAGAATGCACAGAGCATTGGCTGAAATGAAAAGGACACACATAGAAGAWGTTAGAAGGGGAAAATAACCAAAGGTGGCTAGGGAACAACAGCAAAATCTAGAAAGGCTGTGGTCCAGCCTGACCATAAGCTTCTTAAAAAAACAAAAAACAAAACAACAACAACAACAATAACAAAACAACCACACAATAACTGAAGGATATTTTCCCCTTGACATCCTGGAACCAAAAGCACACCTCTGACCTGCATCTAGCTGACAACATGAGGACGCTCTTGGGCAGTCTGTGACTATATGCTTAATACAATAAAAGACAACGGGGCTTCGCATTTCTATCAGTAGAATGGCCTGGATAACTTGAAAACCCTCCTGCAGGAAGATAATTCATGAAGAAATGTTACCCACAACCTTATAAATTCTACCTTAACTCATGACTGACCAACTGGTTCATATTCATATATTCACTTGACTTAGTTCTATATGTGTGGGGGGGTGCCACCTACTTTTTGAAAAAAAAACTATATAACATTAGTAACATTCAATGCTATCATATCAGACTTATGAGACCTCACTGACACATGGTTTTGGCTCCTCTGAGAAATGGGGGCAGGGGAATGTGGCCAGCAATATGTATTTATTCACATCATTGCCAAAACCCACAGAGACTGGCAGAGATGAGTAAGAGTATGGCTTATAATCACGTCCTCCTTTCTGCTGTGGAAGGCTATTACTGCTGTTTGGGGAAATAGCAAGGAATCTCACTACTTTTAACTTTGYTAATCCAGTTTTGCAAAACTTCTCATAAAATAAGCATTCTTCACCCCATTTCTCTGCAAATATTTTGTAGCGGAGAACAGTGGTGGGGTCTCCAGTCACTAAATGGATTTCTTCTGCAAAGAGTTGGCAGAATGTGGTRTAGGTCATCCATCACTCTCAAGTGACGATACTTTGTATCTGAACAGAACCTTCCTTTCACACTAACCAGAAGCCTTTACAAACTGCCCCAATAATATCACACCTTCAGAGGCAGCATCTGGCAAGTGACAGGGTCCCCTGTCTGGCTGTAAGCAGCAAAGGCCCTTCAGGCTGGTCCCCTGGTCACTGGCTCAGAGGAGTCAGAAAGACATACTCCAAACAGTTTAGACAGTTTTTTAAATGACACTGTCCTCAGGGTCCCAAAGTTAAGGTGACTACTAATTTAATGAAGTGCCAAGTGCTTAGAACTATGCTGGCACAGTATTACACCCAGCAAATTACAGTCACCATTTCCTGCATTCTGCAACCTAAATGAGGGAAGGTGACCGCTTGCACCATTAGCACACAATGGAGAGGTCTCACACAGGGAAGTTGGAGGCTTACCATGCTTTGGGGAATAGAAGGTGAGAAAGGGCCTGAAGTAACTCCCAGGAGAAAGCTGTTTGTGGAGTATCTCATGCCAGGCACATTGGGATCCCTGGGATTTAAAGATACCAATAAGACCCAGCCCTGGAAGCCAGGAGAAGAGAGGCAGACAGGGGGAGGTAAGTGCAATAAAGAAAATGGGACTACTGTGGGGAGAGGGAAGAGGGGACCTGATCCAGAGAGCAATAAAGAGAAAACACAAAAAGAATAGCAAGACAGTCACTGTAAGAAAATTTTATTATTTCTGATTAAGGATTTAAGCACAAGTCTGTTATCCAATTTAAGCACTTAATAAAAGTTTTTAAGGCAATTATTTTAATTTATGAATTATGCTCTTGGCTATCTTTGATAATTATTATAGTGGCTGGCAGAATGGCTTACTCTCTGGCAACACCAGACTGAAGAGGCTTGCACACAGGTCCTCTGTAAACTGGGGAAAGCATGCCTCCCAGGAGCACTGCAGAGCCAATACTGTAATTTCCAACTACTGTACCTTCCAAGTACCTGTCTACCTAGGCCTCTGGGTTCAGAGCCCAGGGCCTTTCCTTCAACTCTGGCTAAGTCTTATTGGCCTTGAAAATGCTGTGTGACAGTGACAGCTACCCAAAGCACGCCTGCTAGACTTGGGCCCCCACAGTTAAGAGCTGTGCCCTGAAATCCCTAGAGTTTAATGTGATTAACTGACCTGGGGGCTTTGATCTTGAGGAGGGCAGCTGAGAGCTTGGAAGAGTCACAGCAGCAAAGGCTCTGTGCTGGGACTTATCCAAAGGAAGATCTTCATGCCATTCTGGGATTTCACAGATGAGGAAATCTGAGTCCCAGAGAAATGGAGTGGCCTGTCTCCAAACTTGGAACCCAATTTCACTGTTACATAGGTGCAAATAAATTGCCTCTTCTCTTGTTAGGCATAAATAAATCATTAATTTTTTTAAACTGAAAAGCCTTGTAATTTACAATTCAAGAAAAATTAGAATTCTGCATGAAAATTTCTCCGAGAGTTAACATGTACAGTTGATCATTCTGATCTTAAAAATCTCCATATGGATATGTCTATATATGCAATTTAATTACTGCTACTTTGATTTGGTATCATTCCAGCAAATATACTTGAATGAATTCACTACCCTGGGAGAGTGGACAGTCTCAGGAAGACTGCTGCTGCAAGGTTCTGGGGTGTCAACCCTGCCATGAGGGTAAATAAAGGTGTTCCTCCCAACACAGAAGCACAGAGCTACAGGCAGCTGGGCAGGGACACCTTGCTGTAGAAATTAAAGATCAGAGCTATCCTTAAAGGAAATCCCTTCGAGGGTGGTTTTGCTTGTGTTTTGTATTTTGTTTTTCTGTGCTACCAGTAGCACTCAAGGCACCAGGTACTCTATCACTTAACAACACCTTAGCTCTTTGTTTTTGTTGTTATGAGCAATAGCTCCCAATGCCATTTCCATTACAATGGGACACTTTTCTAACACAGGTCTTGATAAGTCCTCTTGGAACAGTCAGCCATTTTTTTTTCACTCTAGCGCAAGTTGTTGCTGTTGGGAGGCTGTCACTAGTGAAGTATATTCCTCCTCTGCACTGTAACATATTTAAAGAATTGTCCCTATTCCCTGTAATGAGGCAGATAATTTGTGTCCTACAGTGGGAGACAGATTACGAATTCTTCACTATTAGATGGCATAGATATGCCACAAAAAAAGCGTCAGTCCTCCAAGGATTTGTCAGAGAAAGATTGAGTTCTAGTACTGACGTTTGCAATTAAGACCCTAAAAGAACCCCAAACCTCAATGTGACCTGTCTTCTGTCACCTAAGTAATTTGATCTGCTCACCAAGTGTCTTTCCATAGGGATCCACTGTCCCTTGAAAGGGCAGCAGAAATGGAAATCGACCAGTATGGACAATATCAGAGCAAACAGAACTGTGAGGAGAGAGAGAGAAGGCCCCAGTGAACTCAAAGGCTGCTTAAATTCCTATATTCTAAGAAAGATGGCTCTTTCCTGRGTTTAGCTTGTTTGGCTCAGAAGTTTAGCATTTTCTTTCTTTTTTTTTTAAAGTACCTTTGAAAAAAAGCTGAATGTGAAAGAAAGTGGGGTAAGTATTGAGTGATTAATGATGGAAATGATTTACACCCCTTGGTTCTTTTATCAGTACCCAATGCTGTCGGGCTACAATTAATCATCCCGATATTAAAAACACAGACTCTTGTTACTTTTTAAAAAAGAAAAAAGAAAGAAAGAAAGGAAAAAACCCTGTACATTCTTAGTAAACAATAACAGCTCAAACTTTGTCTTTTGTAAATTTGTGCAACTGGGATTAGGCCGTTGTCATTGGCAAGCAACTGTCACAGGTGGACTACGTGTCGCACTCCTCATGACAGCGGGTCTTGGCGGGCTGGGGCCCGGGTCTGCCAACCGCAGGGAGTGGTGCAGCGGTGGAATCCCGCACAGGCCGGCAGACCGCAAGCCCCCGGGCGCCCTGGCATCAGGGCACGCGGTTCCTCCGGGGCCTCCCCCACCCGGCGCCCCCGAGAGTAAGCGGAAACGAGTCAGTACCTGCGGGCGGGTAGCTTTAGTCTCTAGTTTCTCTTCAGGAGGCGAAGACATGGTGCCAAAGGAGTTCCGTGGGGCTGGGCGGCGGTGGCGCCGCAGCTGGCGGACCTGAAGGGAGTGCGAGTGCGAGAGCGAGAGTATGCGCAGGGGGGAGCCAGCCAGGAGGGCGCGCCTCCGCCCTGCAGGGGGCGTGGCCGATGAGCGTCGACGTGGCACGCTCCCTCCTTCCGCACCGGGCTCGCCAACTTCACTGCGGCCACCGCGCCCCACCGGCCTCCTGCGCGCGCTTATAGAGCATGCGCAGCTGGCTGTGCCACGTTGGGGATCTTGGGGAGGAGCTAACGGGAAGGAGGGCGTGGCGTTTGGTTTTAGGGGAAGTAGGGGTCTTTGCTTCTGAGGACCGGGAGAGTAGCGGGTGACTAAAAAGGGCCCAGCTTGAGAACACTCCCTCCTCCACGAAACCGCTCCGCCCGCCAGTGTCCTCAAGTGGACGGCGACGCGGTGGGGAGCTGAGGTCTCGTCCTGAAGTCCATCCTCCTGTTCAGCTTCAGGGATGTCATGTTAGTGCCTCGTCTTGCAGTTTTGGGGCCACCCTGGCTGCACAGTCTAGATTTCTAAATATTTGAGTGTCCCAAGCCTCAACATTGCCTCCCGTCCCCCCCCCCCCGCCCTGATGGGACCCGGGGTTGGATTTTGTTTGGAGACGACGCAAAGGATGAGCCTGCTCCCCGGGAGAGAAAGGCAGCGCAGGAAATGGCGAGTTCTCCAGCGGCTGCGTGGGTGCGGCCTCAGAGCCGTGGTCTCCTTGCTGCGGGGGCTCGAGGGTCTCCCCAGCGCCCTGCAGCTCCAGGGACACCAGGCTCGCCTTCTCCGTGGCTGGATTAGCAATCAGACATGCCCAAGACCTTGGAAGGAAACACCGTCACCTCTCTTGGCTGTATGTTTGTCTGTGATGACAGAAGTGTTCAAAGTGGTCAGGCACCTCTCACCTTCTTACCAGCAGTCAACCTGGTTTTCAGTCAGCTCCCCTGTGTCTTCCCCCAATTGCGGGGACATCCCTTAGACAAGATCACACATGACCTCCATGCTGCCAAATCCAATGGTCACTCTTCCATTGATTCTACTTGACCTCTTAGCAGTACTTTGAAGAAGCCATCCATCCTCCTGTTCAGCTTCAGGGATGCCATGTTAATGCCTCGTCTTGCAGTTTTGGGTCCACCCTGGATGTACAGTCTAGATTTCTAAATATTTGAGTGTCCCAAGCCTCAACATTGCTTCCCGCCCCCGCCGCCCCTTTCCCTAGGCTTAGATGGTGTCTTTGTCTGTGTTCTGCTGATACAACAAAATCTGAGAAGGGGGTTAAAGAGCAGAGATTTCTTTGGCTACTGGTTCTGRAGGCTGAGAAGTTCAAAGGCACAATGATGGCATATTGGTGAGGCCTTGGTGCAGCAACACCTCAGAGTGAAAAGTAAAAGGGTGAGGAAGAGGGCTGAACTCTCCTAATGAATTCACTGTAAGGGAGACCCCGTAAAAGCAAACTTGATTCATAGGGGAAGAACTCTCATGATTTAATAACTTCCTATTAAGCCCACATCTCCTGCATTGTTGCATTCAGGGTTAAGTTCAACACTTGAACCTTGGAGGAACATGTCAAACCATAGGACATCTTGGATGCCTTCTATCACAGGCAASCCCACGAGTATGACTTTCATCCACATGCTTACAGATCCCAGGCCTGCAAATCTATTTCTGTTTCCTTGATCTCTTGACTGATACATTCCACTGGCTCTGAAACTCCATCAAAGAAGATGGCTCCTTCAGGGCTGCCCAGTTCTTTGTGTCAGGTCACACACACTGATGCTGGCCATATGCTGATCTTGCACTCACCCTCCATGTTTCACTAATGGCTATGGGCCACCTGCTGATTGTGATACATTGTCATTGTCTTGCATTCACAYCAGAAGTTGCAAACCAGTAAGAACAGCTTAGAAGGAAATCCTGGAATAACAGTGAAGCACTTTTCTCCTCTGTAGTACTGGGGATCAAATCCAAGGCCTCACACATACTAGACAGGCATTCTACCAACCCAGCCCCAAAGTGCTCTTTTCACTAACRCCTTTGAAGGAACAGAGAGAATCCAAAGACAGTGCTTTGGATTTTGAACTGAGAAGATTTAAGAATACCTAAACAATTTTATTAATATTTTCCTTTTTCTGTATCTATATGACTAAAAATTCAAGTCTTAACAACTGTAAAATAATTATTTCTAAGAAATACAAAATAAAAACTTTAGTTTGAAAGAAAATATTGTATTAAAGTTTAATTGGCAATGTTTCCCCCTTTTTGGCACATAAAGTAGCAGGCATAAGCTGTGGCATCTCAGACTCAATAATGAACAGGATTGTTAGGGAATGCTGGGGTAAAAGGAGGAGCTTTCTGAGGAAAGAGCAGAGTGACCCAAGTGTCTGGGGGCCACAGACACCAATGGGATGGCCTGAGGTCTGAGAGGACTAGACTGATGGGGCCCTCTAGTGTAACAGCATGTACAGT